AAAAAATCTAAATGGTCATCAATTTTAATGATTGATCCTCTTTCTTTGAGATACAAAATAAATGAAATCGATCGATATTTTAACCTCTTTTGAACTACGCAAAACATTTTTGAGATGTAAAAATTATATCTGATTGTTACTTGTTGGTCCTCAAAAATAAGAGAAATGAGCACCAAATATTCAATATTGTGATACTTTTTTAAATAATTCAATTTGTATAAATTTTTTTTTGTCTATATCAATTAATCTTCAAAATAATTATGTTATGGTACTTATTTTTATTAAGTTGTAGTCAAAGGATGGAAACTATTTAAAGGCAATTGATGTTCAAAGATTTATTTTTTATTAAAAAAGCATACTGTTAAGTAAGTTAAGGTTCACCCTGCGTTATCGGGTCGAATTGACCTTAGGTGCTGGATGCGTTGGTGCGGGATGGATATATTCGGTCTTTTCAGTAGTACGAAGATAAATATTATTTTGCAATTGTTTCGTCAAACATAGTAATAATTTGGAAAAAAAACTTATCAGGTCTTTACGACCCACAGTGTGTTATGGGACTGTATAATCGGACATTCTCATTGATTTGATGAAACGTATAGAGCTCAGTTATACAAACATGATAGTAAAACTCCCGTTTGAAAATTCCACGTAGTTTTCGCGGTATAAAAATTCAAAGTTACCTATTTTTTTACTTCAAAATTATGCAAAAATATTCTCACTCGTTAACTAATAACATTTAATTCAGAATTGTTATAATACTTCATAGAGCTCTTAAAACTACACGTAATAAGCGTATTAAGTGCTTCGTGAACGCATTCAGTTAATCAGGAAAAATGATTTTAGTGATTTTTGTTTTTATTTTTTTTCTCAATTATACCTTAATATATGCAAACATTTTTAATTGCAAGATATAGTCTGATATTTAATCTAATTGTATTAATAAAATCAGCTTTAAGCTCCGTGATATATTTGAGAAAAAACATAAAACGTCTTAATAAAATTTTTACGCGTCTAGGGTCGACAATTTTGGAAGGAATAATTCATGTCTAAAAAGTTTCAAATCCCGCCTGTTATGTGCATAGTGTTGAAGGTTCAAAAGTGATGGTAAATTTACAATTCTATATTTCGCATATTTTCAATTTGATTTTCCTCAAATATATCACGGAATTTAAGGCTGATTTTTTTTATACAATTAGATTAAATATCAGACTATATCTTGCAATTAAAAATGTTTGCATATATTAAGGTATAATTGAGAAAAAAAATAAAAACAAAAATCACTAAAATCATTTTTCCTAATTAATTGAATGCGTTTACGAAGCACTTAATACGATTATTACGTGTAGTTTTAAGAGCTCTATGAAGTATTATAACAATTCTGTTTTAAATGTTATTAGTTAACGAGTGAGAATATTTTTGCATAATTTTGAAGTAAAAAAATAGGTAACTTTGAATTTTTATACCGCGAAAACTACTTGGAATTTTCAAACGGGAGTTTTACTATCATGTTTGTATAACTGAGCTCTATACGTTTCATCAAATAAATGAGAATGTCCGATTATACAGTCTCATAACATACTGTGCGACCCGATGTCGCACTAAAAGTAAAAAAATATCGTTTAGTGCTTTTATCGGGTCTAATCGACCCGTTGACAGATGACTCTATGGTCACTGATCAGTGATCACGGTCGTTATCGGTATACTAAGAGAAAATCTACCTTGCGATTTGAAAAAAAATAAAGAGGTAAAAATTATGATGTCGGATTCAGGGATGCCAGAAGTAAGAAATTATCCCAACCAAACTAAGCAAAGCTTGTAATTTAAACAAACATGGCAATGTACCATTCTGCTTGCTTATTGGCCGCTAAGCCCTTGGCCAACTCAGTAAACGACCAATGACGGACGATTGTCACTCAACCACAAAGTACCACGTAAATTAAAAGATATTTTTTAATTAAAAATATTAACCAATAATATTTTTAGTTAGATCAAATATATTTTAAAGTTAAGTTATAGGTACTTAGATCGAAATGTATTTATTAGGTGATCAATATTAAAAGGCAAACTTGATATAAAAATCATCAAATTAACAAAATTAAAGATCATTAACTAAAAAAGAGGATCAAATATTATTTTTGTTTACCAAATATTAAAAGAGTATGTTAAACATAAATAATATGTTACCTTAAATGAAGATCATTCATAATTTATTCGTAGATCAACTAATATAGACCCAATAATTAATATAAAGATAAAATATAATAAAAAACATCATTTATTTTTAAAAGTGCACATACAAAAAAGATCAATTAGTTTTTAGAGGATCAAATAATATTGTCCCTATCTCAATCAGTCTGGAAAATACACGAATAAACTGGTAGCAGGAAGGTGTTGGATGCAGGCCGCTACCAACCGGGCGATGTGGAAATCATTGGGGACGCCTATGTTCAGCAGTGGACGTCCTGTGGCTGAAATGATGATGATGATTAATATTACGTACTTCAGATAGGCTACAGGTCCGATTGAGCCATGTCAGACATTCATGACTGCTTACTATTTATGCTGCAGTCAGATACGTTTTATGCTGGAGTTAGTTTGACACGTTTTAACGATTGAAAGAAGGAAATGCGAACCGCAAACCAGACAAAGGTAAAAGTTAAGTTTTTTTTGTTGTCTTGAATTATGACTTGACAGACAGGTTGAAGTTTTTTTAGTTGTTAAATTATGACTTGACTGACAGTCGATTACACAATTTGTTGTTGGTTCATTTCAATAATACGGATGTTGACACTCGTTACAACTGGTTCAATGCAATTTTAATGCAAATTGCAAAAGACCGTGCACAATCTTTATTTACTTTCAGTTACTATCTAAACTTAATCTGTTATTAATAACTGTGAAATCATCGGTGCTTATGCCGTAATATTTTTCTATCAATTACTAAGTAAACGCAGTGTGGGACGTCCACTCACAAGGTGGACTGATAACATTATAAAAGTAGCATGAAGGCGCTGGACGCAGGCCGCTACCAGCCGGGCAACATGGAAAGCATTGGGGGAGGCCTATGTTCAGCAGTGGACGTCCTGTGGCTGCGATGGCGATGGTGACGATGACGAATACGTGTAAAACAAAACATGTAAAAACTGCATTTTATTCTTCAGTTATAAATGCCTATGTTAAGCAGTGAACGTCCTATGGCTGAGATGATGATGATGATGATGACTAAGTAGAAGATGATTTGATGAACATCATCCTACAGTCAATGAGGGCGAAGCAGTAAAGAAAAATGTTGCAAAAACGGGAGATATCATTCAAACTATTCATGCGTATGAAGTCGCGGGCACAGCTAGTTATTAAATATATTGCCAGTTGATTAAAATTATAAAATTATACATGAGAGGAAGATGAGCATGTTATGTTTACTATGAAAATCTGTTTATTTCAAGGATTCAACTTCTATGTAAAGGAAAACATGGCGTGAAAATATAAAATTACGTAGACAATTGTTTCAAACACAATTGGTCACTTATTTCATTTAATTTGTCATGGCGGTCTTGCATGGCTCTCATTTAAAGTCTTCAGCATTGATAAAAAAGAAGATATAAAGTAATTACACTGTAAAAAAATCAAAAATCATTTGCTTGCATTAATTCCTTGATTTCACAAATAGAGGTAGGGAATAAAGGCATAGGTTATTAAAAAATTTCTTAGCGTATAGAGTCGCTTTTAAAAATAAGGCATAGGTTACTTTTCTAGCTACTTTAAATATGTAGGGGAGAGTTCGGTATATTGTACCGCCGGGTAAATTGTACCACCCTCATATTTCGTAAAGTATTTATTGAATGTCTGTAATTGCAACACTCAGCGTTACACAACTAAAATCAATTAATATCGGCCATGTGGTTTTTGCCGTGACAATTAACACGTGTGTTTTATTTTGAAAAGTATTTTTTCATTGTTTTCAAGTAACTTTTGACAATACATGTTTAGTTTGTAATTTTGTTAAATTTAATCACAGGGTGTTTCTAATATATTATTTAGAAGCGTAAATTAGTGTGGATTACAATTATTTGAAACATTTTTCGGTATTTATAAGCTATATTTTAAACCGATTTTTTAAAAGCACTATCACCTAGTCGGCTAAATTGTACCACATCAAGTTGTATGGAACTTTACCAAAGGATTTTGAAATTTTTTTTAGTAAATCATATTTTGCAATTATAATAGCGTAGTTATGTTTGACTAACAATAAATGAAAGCAAAAGACTGGCAAAGTAGATTAGGTACAAGTATGCGTTACGATAATTGGAATTACAAAACTTATACTCAAAATCGTGATAACGTGTAAAACAATATCGATTGTCTATGTTATTAACTACTGTTCCTTTTCGTTTCCTAATTTGTTAAAAATGTATCGTATAATATTTTGCCATAGTTTTTTTATAGGCTTGAAATTTATTGAAATCCAATTTAGTAACCCTGTGGTACAAATTATCAAACCGGTTGGCTAAATTGGACCGAAGCTCTGAACTCGTACTTTGTTGATTTGTGCTAAATATACAACAATCATGTTAATTAATACTTATGAAATAGTAAGTTGAATAATGTATCTTTTATTATATACCATGGACATTAGCAAAAACAAAAGAAAACTATGTGTAAAATGGGATTGAAAAAAACTGGTCCAAATTAGCGGACTCTCCCTTATAAACTCATGCAATAGAGTTGAATTCGTTTAATTAATTTGTGTAGGCTTCTTATTTTCGACATAATACTGTTTACTCTATCAAGTACTTTTTTCAGCCATTGTAGATTACCTAGAGAACCTTGCTAAATCGAACCCGCGACTACCGGCTTTGTAATCTACGAGAACATCCAACCCAGTAATGACAAATATAGAATAAAAATTGTCATAACCATAATTGCTTCAACAATTGAGAAAAAAAAAAACTAAAACTGAACTCTTAAAAATCGCTAATAATACCAAAATAAACACTCACCTAAATTATCTCCTAAACTAACACAAAATAATTAAAAATAAATTAAAATAACTATAAATGCAATTACACTAAGCGGCTTGAACGCGGGCCGTGTACTGACTGACAGACAAGCGGACTGAACGACCTTTATCTGAAAAGATTCGTGCTCAAGGCATTTGTAGCACATCTAAGCATTAAACAGTAGGACCGCATAGGGCAAAGTCTCGTGGGAAATAAAATGCCACATAAAAAACATACAGGGTGACTTTGAAATTGACGTTGGCATCCTTTTAATATAAGACTCTACTCATGATACATAGTGCATTCCCCAAAATGTGAGACAAATCCAATGTCATTATTTTACTATGTATTTGTATTAGTGTGCTCTTATAAAGAGTTTTAAACTATTGTACAGTCAACAGCACATCAGCCCATACATTTTTTGTTGCAACATAACGCTTATTACATAGAAATATTGATGTCGCCTGTAAAAGAATTTAAATACCTATTAACATTTTAACTCATTGGATTTGTCTCATATTTGGGGAATGTATCATGAGTAGTCTTATTTTAAAAGGATGCCAACGATTTCAAAGTCAGCCTGTAGAAACGAGCAACTAAGATCTGGTCTCTACGAGACGGTAGGATAGGATAGGAATGGCAAACTAAAGTAGAATTAAATGCAATAGTTGGACAACCAAGTTTAAATCTGAAAAGATATTTTATGAAACGTGTGGAAATGTTTTACGTAATGCAAACCTAATCAACTAATTAGATGTGTACCTTGAAATACCACAGAATAATAATAAGTACTACGTACAGAAGTTTTACTTCGCGAAGGTATTTAAAAAAATGTATGCTCAATGTCATTAACAATATGGTGTAATTTAGCCTGTCTCAAGAGTCAAGCACCATTTTGTTGACAAACGTCAGTGATCGGCACTGCGCCGAAGCTATAGGGCTGACTTCGGTAAAATGATGTGACGTGAGGTGCCAAACTGCGGAAAATGGCGGAGGAAATACATGATTTAGCATGAATTATCATGAATAATATTAACTACTTATTTACCTCTCAGTGTCTTGAGGCAACTTAAAAAAGTACATTTTGTGTTTTTATTATTATTTAGGCAGTTAAATACTGCACAGTATTTAGTACACCATTTTCTTTATTTCCTTCCATCATTCACAAGAATACGCGTGCGTGAGTCAATGTTCGCTCGTATGTGAGGCCTTGTCGAATAGTATCCTGTAGGTGGGCCATCGTGCGTGTTTTGTTTTCGATGTAAACTCGCGGAGATGAACAGGCCTGGTAATACTTTTTACCGAAAAACAATGGAACATCATACACTTAAAAAACTCATTTTCAGTAGCACAGAAGAAACGGAAAACATAATTATTTTGTTTTGCGAACTTTTGACTTTAAAATTACAGTTGCTGCCATATTATTAGGACTTATTAAGGATACTGTCTTTTTCTGCATTGTGTCTTTATTCATACTCCGAATCGGACTGTCTGACTCAAATTACTGATAAGGGTAACATAACCTCACTTTAGAGCGCGTAGTAGGAAAATCGGAAGGTATATTGCGTAGAATGTATACCTTAGAATTCCCAATACGTATTTGAAAGTACCTAGATATTTTCTACAATTAGGACTTGGGTAAGTTATGGTGTACTCATACTTTTACTTTACTAAGTTATAAGGGTTCGGACAAACCAACGCGATCACAGCGCGATCAGCCGGCGTGCAGCGATGGCGACCAGACCTAAATGCATTGATCGCCATCGCTGCACGCCGGCTGATCGCGCTGTGATCGCGTTGGTTTGTCCGAACCTTAAGTCGAACCTTAACTTCGAGCTCCTCCTATGTTCTTCTGATTAATTTAGTTGCGTTCCAATGACAGTTTAACTTTCCCCCGGGACAAACTTGACCTTAATTGGGTTTTTATGGCGGTCAAGCTGTAGATCCTGGCTACACAGGAGTTGCAGCGGTGGGAACGAGAGGTGGGAATAGTACCGTACTAAGTTATTAATACAATTTCAAATGCACCTATGCTCCTGACGATCTGGTGAAGGTCGCGGGAAGCACTTGGATGTCATTATGGAAATCCTTGGGGGAGGCCTTTGTCCAGCAGTTTGGCTGAAACGTTAATATTTCTATTGTGCAGGCATCAAACCCGCTACTCAAGGCAAACTGGATGTCTCAGCCACTGCGCTAAATCTCTTAAAATCGTTATCATAAGTTATTGATTGTTCCATAATAATTGATCAACGGGGTTATTGTTCGGCAAGAATAACTTTATATGAATATTTGTACAGATGGATATACATAATATTATACTGCCTGTTTCAAGGAAAAAACAGCTGTAGTATCTTTTATTTTCTGTCTTATTGACGTAACACACGGAGGCCAGAGACAAAATAATTGAAAAGTTGGGTACAAAATAATTTTATCTTGCAGATACAAACAAAAGCACATCAGACCATATATTTATGTTGCAAAGTAGCACAATTTATAAGGACATAAGATGCCAGTCAAATCAAATCAAATAGTTTGTTCAGTACATAGGCCCGTTCCAGGGCGCTTATACACGTCCCAAATATACCTTGCTCTACCACCACATCGGGACAAATATGGGCTGGTGCTGAGAAGTGAATTGTTACTATGTTCGTTAATTAAAGAATAAGTTATTGTGTAAATTGAACAATGGGCATATTGTTATCGATAAAATTAATAAAAAAAACTGCGAAAGACCTACTTAATTTTATACTGTTGACGATATTTCTTGTATAATTATAATTAATTGGTTATTTTATAAAAATTTCGTGAACACTTGCTTAATTAATTGTATTTTTTAAACATATCCTTTTAGTAAACGATATCATTATCGTCGTCATACCCTAAAATTAACTTTGAACCTAAAAGTTCTAATTAATTCGTGGTAATTTTGACTAAATATCAAGTTTGTGCTTAAAATACGTAGTTTTTGACAAAAAAATGTATCTTGGTCCAACATTTACACACAATTTTGTTCTGTATACATATCTAAACGGACGAACGCTAGACCGCCCATCTCATCGCACCACGCGTTTAGTCCTTCCAACGACATTAAGAAAAGAAGTAGAAGAAATATTTAATCTGGAAGATACAGAGACGACAAATACGTAGTACCGCAGATATCAAGAGAACAACGAGGCTAGTCTAGCAGCAGTACATGAACCAAGAACAACCAAAACCATCTCATCAAAGGCCAGAACCGCCCATCTCATCGCATCAACGCTCAGTCTTATCAACGATAACCCGTCTTTACCTATTTTCCTAGACCAGGCTCAGGATGCATATCTACTTGGTTGTGGTCGACCGGTTGCGGTTTAAAGACGCAGCGGCTAGTCGGCCGTCCTCTCCCATCCCAGAGCGTGTCTTTCCTTAAAATCGTGCCTCCTGGTATGCCGGTTTGACCGGAGCAGGCCTCGTCCTGGCTGGGTGAGCACTATCGTATCGTATCGTATCGTATACATATCTAAACGGAACCTTTTAAAAGTTAATGCAGAGTCCTAGTTCCGTAGGTACTTCCGATTAATTATACGGGTCTTAAGCATCATCCTTAACCCTGGGTTTATCCAATTTTTACTGCTTGCCTTTTATTGCGGTCAAGTAGATCCTTCTGATTCTGAATTCTTATATCTCAGTTTGACATACTCTGTGACAAATTCCTTTTTCAGTCAGCGATTGGTAAATGGTGGACGACCCACGACCTCATGGAGGCAGGAAGGCGCTGGACGCAGGTCGCTACCAACCGGGCGATGTGGAAATTATTAATCATTGGGGGAGGCCTATATTCAGCCATGGACGTCTTGTGGCTGAAATGATGTTGATGATGATGGGTAAAATACTGAAGTATAAAGACGACATAGCCAAAAGATTAGGAAAGCTTATATTTGGGCGATACATATCAAAGATTGCGTATANAAAATGTTAAAGATTTCCTGGCCTGGACTTGGTATTACATGGATCTCACAACTTTTTACCGTATCTAGAACAACTGAGTTGCGAGACTTGGTTTTTTTGACAAGTATTGTTTTTGATGGGATTTCTTTCTTTCTAACAAAAAACTTAAAAAAACTACTCAAAAAAGACATTGACTGAGTTAAAATGTGCTAGTCCTATAAATCATGTTTTTTTTTCAGATACGCGTACGAGATTGAGTTCAGCGATTCAAAAGGGATTTTATCTTGTTACGTGTTCATATGTGATATAATTGAAAATAAACGTTAAAGTGTGTTGTATTAATAAGTAAAAATTTGAAAGATTATGATTAGATATTTAGTAAAGTATTGGAATTAAAACTATTTTATTTATTTATTTATTTTATTTTATTTTACAAGGGAATATAAATAGTTTTATTTTTTGATGACAAATGAATTAAAATTCCGGGAAAGCTCGCTTCCATCTTCGGCCTGATCGTCACTTACCATCAGGTGAGATACAGGCCAAGAGCTTCCTCGTTGTGGATAAAAAAAAATGAAAAAAAAAATTTGAATAAGAACGATATGATAGTTTTCACTCTGTAAAAGACTCAATCCTAAAGTCAGATATTTTTTGAGATCCTTCTTAAAGTTACTGTCTTATAAATGAACCTTCCTTATTGAAAAACATGAACTAGAAACCTCTGGAAGATAACCCAAAACGATACACGATACGTGTCGATACAGCTTGTAAAGCAAAATGCCTGTCTTCAATTAAATTAATTTAAGACAGGCATTTTGCATTTTGCTTTTGCAAAGTGAGATGGTGCAAGCATACCAACCTTAGTATCTAACCCAAGTAACATTTTACTCCATTTAAGAGTTCACATTTAGTTCCAATGTGTACTTAAAGCATTAGTACAGTTCACTCGTGATGTATAAGCTGTATTATTGCAATTAATTACACCTATACCTGTCTAAGGGACTTATAGGAGTGTAGACTAGTGTAGANGTCGATAGACTTTTCTATCGATGGTCCCATGTTAGGGAAAATGATAAAATTATCTACGTGATCGAAAATTGTCTTATCATATCATGTCATTGTCGATGCGCGCATCTTAGGCCTACTGATTAATGTAATTAATCACATGCAAAGCTTTATGAATTGCAACAACTATAATTTATTATCCAAGCTCTAAATAATCGCTACTACGAGTAACTGATCATAAAATGTTTTTCCAATCGCTCAAGCTCCCGAGGATCTACCGATAGGTCAGGTGACGTAATCTTGAAATTCTTTTAGCCGGCGCGGAACTTCCGGAAGGTCGGGTGACGCCACGCCTCTTTGAACCGTGTTTACTTTGGCAGTTATATTCTATATTTATTCGATTCTAAAATATATTCCCAAAAATTTTGAAAGTTATTAAATTTTTTTAGCGTTAAGAGTCGCATCTCAAACTAATTTGAAAATTATAAATAACTTGAAAAAGTTCAATTCCCGCCTTAGGCAGTTCGATTTTTTCAAGTTATTTATAATTTTCAAATTTTGCAAGTTGTTTTAATTTGTATCATTTGGATATGATTTGTATTAGAAAGTGCTGTGAGTGTGACGCTTGAACGGAAGGAAGTCAACCTAACCTAACCAACTGCGTATTTCTATACTGTGTAGCCGCGAGAGCTCTTTGGCGCGCTGTCTTCGGCGAAGTATTGCGCGCGCAGATTTTGACAGCGCGAAATACCTACTTTAGCAGAAATACCAAGCCTTAATGAATAATTTGGGAACCCCTTAGATCACCTTCTAACGTAATTAGTGTTACTATCTCGAAATGTTTGGAATTCATCGCCGTGAATAATTTATAATTTTCAGCCGTTTGTCCTATTAAAACACCTGTTTTGAACTTATTTGGGAAATTATAATTCTTTGGACACTTTTTACGGATATTAATTACTAAACTTGGAGTCACTCGTTTTTATAAGACAGTGAAAAGTTGAGAAAGTAATAAGTTTTAAGTCTCAGAATGTGTCGGAATTCCTAAAGAATGCATAAGAGTAATAAACACTTCAGAGTATCTCTAAGGATAAAAACATGGTACCTATTTTATATCTGGGCGTGAATGGACCCAACAACCGCTGGTGGCTATATTCTGGTACGCAAATCACCAAGCTAGGCAGCAGTTTTGTTTCGAATTTACATTTAGAGATCTAAAACTTCAGTGACATAGCTTAAACCGTATCTCTAAAGCGTTTAATCTGAAGATTCGATAAGACTTTGAGCTCTGCTCACTCAAACACTTTTAACAACTTTGGCTCAACTAACCAGAGTTAGCGGCAAATTAACTACTCCCCGAATTAATGAGAAGACACGGCGACGCTGTGACAGTAACGGGGACACTAATGCGCAAAGTGGCACTAATGTACCATTTGTCACGGCCGCCATGAATTAGTTTTGTTATCCAAAATAATGAGTGCTATTCTTGAAAGAAAGCGAGTATTATTTATGAAGGATGTTGCCAAATAAAAAGCACAGAGTTTCTATTGCATAACGCTATCCAAAATAGAGCAAGGACGTGCCAACCACTCCTTTCCATGCTTCCCATATACTGCCAAAACTATGTCATGAAAGTGAAACGTTATAGAACCGTTATGTAATTAACACGCTTATAAAAAAGTTTCTAGGTACAAATAATTTGTAATGAAGTGTTCATAGTGTTAAAATACATTTGGAAAAAACTAACGAGCCCAGCTAGTTAGACTTATTTGGAAATAGGCCGTCTTTGTCTAATTACCTAATATGCAACGCAGTGTAGAGTTCTCTCAGCATAAAGCGGGGATTATATAATCGTATCAAAGCTTAAGCTGAAAACCTGTTCGTGAAGTTTTGCAAAAACGTACACCAATAAAAAATTAACAAACTGGAAGTCCCAAAAGCAAAACATATATTCGAAAACGCAATCCCGGCTCGCGAGGATCACGGTTCGTTGTGTCCAATACCTTCGTTTTGTGTCGCCATCCATTTAAATTTTGATGACTTCACTGTCACTATTTGTTGGGCTTTTGGTTTGTTCGCCACTACGGCTTTGTTGCTCACTACTGGATTTTTTCAAGTTGACTGACATGACTTCCCGATATACCAATACAGACGGTACCGCGGTTATTTTTTTTCAGAAAATATCGTTGAGAAAATATTGGCACAAAGCCATTTTTCCGCAGGTAAAATAGAGCTATAAAAGAGTGAGGACAAAGGTTTTCTAGCATCAGAAGTGCTCTGCGATAATGAGGTGCAGCATCTAGCTAGCTTAATAGTATCATATCAGTAGGCGTAGCTTAGATTGTAGTTATTTGACAAAAATATTTTATTGGATTATAAAAAAAAAATCAAATAACAATACAGTTATCGCATACAAGCCTTACAGAAAGTAAACAATACGGCGTAATACTGGTAATACTTGCAAAATTATGAAAGTAGGTATACCTTTCTGAAAATTGAGCTGCTGAAAATTTTGTATCCCCAAAAACCATTATTTACTTCAATTAATCCGAGTCCTTCTAAACCCTCGGAATTTGAATTTTCCTTTATAAATGTTTATTCGAAAAGCGAGATACTCAAATTACTCTGGCGCACATCTAATCACGAAATCCACAAAGTTGTGCGACAGAAAACCTGAGCTGTGTAGGTGAATAAAGTTCGCTGGCTTCGAATGTGGAGGGGAATGCATCCACAGTAATTTCGGGTAAATAAATATACTGCGCTCTCGTTCTCGTACCAGAATACTTCTTTGCCGGGGTTATCTTTATTTTCCTAATTGCTCGACTGGAAACCAAACCCACTAATAACGTGGTACTTAGAACTTTTCAACTCGATAGAGCAAGAGTTTATTTTTTGCTGTTGTAGAACTAAGGTTACTACGCAGTCGATAGTTTTTGTATTATTTTAATCAAGTGATAACTTTTCTTCTCTTTGGATTTTTTTTGTTATCTAAAGGCTTAATCTGACTCTCCTTTTTTTTTGCGCAGGAAAATACTTTGCGTATACCCGCCGCCTCGGGGGAAGCGACGGGTTATGTGGGACTCCCTTGTCGGGTGGCAGCAATAGCGGCTGTCACCCGACAAGTATACCCACTAAAAACCTGCGGTGCACCCTCTGCGTTTTACTGGCACGACGTGGGGTCCTACAGATTCAGACCACGCCGTGCCGACGCATGGCCCAGCCTTTGCCGGGCCTCCCGCGCTAAAGAGGGGGTCTGCCGGTACACTGGCAGACCCCCCCAGACAGGGTGGGACCGTGCAATGTGGGTGATGGGCCCCCCGGCCTAACACCCACTGGTCTTACCTAGGGAGGCGGAAGGAGGCGAGCGAATCTCCTCCTTCTTCCCCCCGGCCATCTGCGCCGGAGCGCGTGGGCTTCGGGATCTACTTCCCTAGCCCGTTCCGCGGTCTCCTTCTGCAACATCACCTCTTCGCAGAAGGAGACCATGGCGTTCCACGCGCTCTCGCCCAGGAGCATCGCAACCACGACGCTGGGGAGCGCGAGGTCCGGACCAGTCACCGCAGTCAGAGCCCGGCGCTGCTGGACCCATGCTGGGCACACCTCAAGGGTGTGCTGAGCCGTATCTTCCGCAGCGCCGCACTCGTGACATTCAGGGCTCGGCTCTCTACCGATCAGATGCAGGTACCAACCGAAGCATCCGTGTCCAGTTAGCACCTGCACCAGACGATAGGTGAGGAAGCCGTGCCTCCGATGCACCCACTGGTAATCTGACTCTCCTGATGTTAACTCATCAACTGGGATACACTCGATTCCGAAGATAAAGATTCAAGTTAAAGTGAGAGTCTGGTTTGATAGATACCTACTCGTAGTTAAAATCACCAGAGGCCAGCCAGAAATAGCTAGGCTCATAGGCTATCGCCTCTAGATTGCGTAGAACAAGTATCGCGTACGGCACTTGGCACCACAACATTGTTCGTGGGACAGGCAACTCCGCCAGCGGCCATTGTAGCGGCGTTGCATTGTTAGCGACTTCAGCATTATGCTGCGACATATTCTGCACATTCCGCCCGTTGAATGCTCGTAGTGCCTGCAAAAGTTCAGCCTCAAACAATTTGCCGAAGATAACAAGGCTACAACTAGTTTGCGGACGTTTAGGTTCACAGAATTCCAATATTGGTCTGCTGTGTATTTGAATCAATATTCGGAATTCTATTACCTACGTTTTGTTATCATCTACCGTCGGTCATCGGTTGTTCTCTTTCAACTGTTACCAGAGACCTCGCGTAGCTATATTATTGCTACATCTCGTTGGAAAGAAAGAAAGAAAGAAAGAAAGAAAGAAAGAAAGAAAAAATATTTATTTGGTATCAAAGATATAACAATACAAATAAATATAAAGAACAAAAAAATAATTATTTGTACCAAATTGGTCACTGCTCAGTATAAGGCCATACATACTCGGGAGCACGTTACGGCCACTGGTATTCTGCAGATACGTTAGAGGTTGTGTTGCATTGTACCTGCCATTCTGCCAAAAAGTAGCCAGGTATACTCGTTTCACAAAATATATTAAACTCAGAAAGGTGTGATACAGTAAATAATAAATTATTATCTGCCCCAGTGGAGTGGAAACCGCCACTATGCGTGTATCCAACAAATAACCAAATACAGAATACGATTAAGCTGCGTTTCAACTGAAACCGCATATTATTATTGAAAACAGGCAATTATCTAGTTTTTTGTCCACTTTGGCCACATTACACGAGCTTTGTTCCATGTTGTGGGTAAATAAAAAGTGAATAATTTATGGCACGATAAAAGCCAATACGAAGTCGATTAGGCACAAGCCTCGTATTAAACCCCCATAAAGCTGTTGACAATTCAATCTATTGCGATCGTTTGACTGATTGAGCTTGGATTACTGACTCTACTGAATGTAAAATGAATAAAAAAATGTTGGATTTACTATTTATTATAATTATCTTTTGTATTACTTTTTGAAAATGAAATGTTAGAAACTAAATTGGGTACCTAGAAAGGTAGAAAAGGGAATTAATATTTTTTCTTAGGCCCAGAATGTTTCTTTGTACGTAAATGGTAGTATGTGTTCTATTTCTGTCATGAATGGTATTCATAATATGCGTCAAATTACTTGGTTTTAATCAAATCTGTTTTGTTTCAGACCTCGCACAGGCGTGGTAGGCGTGCTGCTCAGAGTCGCGCGGCCCCTCCTGTGACTAGCCAGGGCTCTCGCGAACGGAACGGGCGGCGGATTGTAAGTAAAATAGATTAATTATATAGAACCATTTACTTAAACCCCATGGCTGGGCAATGGTTGACGCTATTCTTCATCATATCCTTTCAGGGCCCACATTCACGTGGTTTCTCCTAGTTACCTTGTTACATGTCACTATTGAGTCGTCCACCAATAACGTTATTGGATATTTTTTGTTAGCCAATAGCTGACCCAGGCCAGTTAGATTAAAAAAACAGTAATGTTTTCTAAAATCTGTTGATTTTATTCTTAAACCCATTGCTAAGAAACATGATGATCAAAGAACTTTGGAAAACCGAATGTGATTTTCAGAATGTCAAGCCTTCTAGTTTGATTTTCACATTTAGGTACGGTAATGAACCAGCGACGGGATAAGTTCGGTAAAAATGCAATTTGTCATGCTCCGATAGACTAAAAGCCTCAAAAATGTATATTTTATGCAGGTATACAGATATGTGCCTGTTTTCCATTACACATTCCATTTTTGTAATCTGTGCCTCTACCATGAGTTTACCTACCGAGCATCTCGCTATCGAGGGCGTAAAAAAATGTATGGCAAATTGTACAGCGCCTCTAGCGGTTAGTAGCTGAACCACAGCAAAACTAAAAACACTACCATGAGTTCATCTCAAATCGTTAGGTAAAAAACCTATCTAAATGAATACGATAGCGACTAAAGTTTTTATTAAGTTTCATACAAATAACTTACCATGAGTTGCAATTTTCAAAGATGTCATCGAAAAATACCTTAGCTGTCACAGTAACGTAACTCACTGGCTTATTGACGTGTGAAAAGCAAAATAAAATTGTGGTTTTAGGTCATTTTAGGTGTTTTCTTTATTAAATTATGTCGGAAAGAAGTTTATTACGATGGAACATGTTATCAGCATGTGGGCAGACCTCCCACTAGGTGGACCGACGATCTGGTGAAGGTCGCGGGAAGAACCTGGATGCGGGCACATTGTGGAGATCCTTGGGGGAGGGAGAGGATGCTGCGTTTCCCAGAGATATGCGAGGGAATTGTGTCGTGCGAAGATGTCTAGCTGTGCTGTGAAAATGTGTGCGGGTTTCCACCAAAGCTGTGCGAGGAAAATGTATCGTACGAGGATGTGTAGCAGAGATTTGAAAATGCTCATTAGTGTTGTACAGCCTGAGCCTTTTCTACCAGAGATGTGCTGACCGAGGCGAGGTAAATGAAGCGATTCTATTGGTTCTTTACAAACACATCCTTCGCTACGCATCCTCGCACATCTCTGGTGGAAACGCAGCCTTACGAGATCATGATAGAAAGCTAATCCGACAATGAATATGTATTTTCATAAGTTGAAATTTACTTTTGTTTTTAATCAGTCTGTGTATTATGTATTAGGTTTTGTGAAATAAATAGTCAATAAAAATTAATCATTTTATTTTCAACTAGCTTTTGCCCGCGGCTTCGTCCGCGTGAAATTTAGTTTGTCACAGATCGTCATAATTATAGCCTATATGTTAATCTGGGTTATAAACAATAATACTGTAAAGTTTCATCAAAATCCGTTCAGTAGTTTTTGCGTGAAAGAGTAACAAACATCCAGACATCCAAACTTTCGCATTTTTAATATTAAGTAGGATATTAGTAGGATATGTATTTACTTAATTATTATTACTGACGAGATTGCTACCATGTATGTTTAGTGACCATGAAAGATTAAAACAATATAATGTATTTAATTAATTATAATATCTTAAGTTTTACAATAATAAGGTAGGTATATCCATCCAGTTACCCTAGGTCTTTATTATGGATTTAATTTACAAGTAGTTATTTACAAGCACTCTGCTCTAAATCCTTTGGCTTCAGGGAAGAACCTGGACCGCCACCAGTCCAGTGTTCCCTTGGCAGCTCTGTGTCTGCGAGTTGCCTTCTTCTTGCTGTTTAAAGTCACTCCACACCTTAACAAATAAACATTACAAATAATAATGACGAAATAAGATAAAAGCAATCAAAATGAATAAAGTAGTAGGTATTTATACACACTTTTCTCAATTTCTCAGTAGTTTTCGTGTCGCCGGTGGCATCAGCATTTCACGTTCGCGTGTCCGTTAGTTCCACCCACCGTTGACTATTGTTGGCTCTTTCTTGGGGCCCTTCAGTGGGCATACTCAGATCGCCATATCTATAGAAAAACAACTTTATTGTAACTAGAAAATATAAATCTAGCACTCATATTACTGAATTTTAGCTAGGCACGTGGAAGTTATGCTGGAAAGGTTGTATTTCTCCAAAAAAACCAGCTCAAAATTATTCGTTTAATTTCGAAATTCCTCCACTATATAGTATGTTCATTTTTACTTAACTTACCTTTCCATAAATTCTACAATCGGTTTAGACGGATAGGCGCAGGTTCTCATTTTCCTATCGTGGTTAAAATCCAATTTTTTGTGGAAAATTATTCATCAATAATCATTCAAAAAACATGTTTTGTTATCTGTTGTCATGACAACAGCTGCGTCAAAGTCGCAATGACAAGAAATAAACAATACAAATTTAAAATCATCATGTTAATTCAGCTTTAAGCACTGTTCTAGGACACTTAAATTTTGTAGTGTTATTTTTGACATTTTTGTTATTTTCTACTCTATCTTTTCTATATAGTTAGAAAGGAGCGGCATTCGTTCTTTCATTCATCCATTCATAGAGTGTGAAGTTGGATACGTTAACATGTTCACCAACATGACATCACAAAACCATCGAATTATCGCTGGCGAGTAAAGTATACGGTAATTGAACTCATGGTATGATTTTAATGCAAACTTAATCGATCCACGTTTAAACTCTATCGACTGTAGTATACGAATACAAGTTTTCGATGGCAACTCATGGTAGAGGCCCTGTACTGTACGAGTACTTTTTAAATAACGCACGAGCTGGTTGAATTACTCAATTTATTTTGATTTTCACTGGAAATCTGTTTTCGACTGGTGATATTGAGACCCGTGTCGAGCGAGCTGTGATACATTTCATTTGAGAGGTTCTCAGCGAATTCCTTCGTACATATGTTCCACATACAGAATGTAGGTTGTGGCTTGTGGAAAACTCGCTCAACGCTGGGAAATTTCCACTCCAATACACAGATACATAATAATATTTGCGTTCTCTTCGAATCACTGTAGCCCCTCATGTGTGAATAGGAAGTGATTCAAGTTGAATTCGTGGTTGATCCGCGGACCGTTGCAACCAAAATTGCGTTACAATTATAGTCTAATAATACCTACTAAAACATACGAGTAATGAACAGTTAAATTAGTTCAACTATCGCGCAAAACAAATTAAGTTTAACCGTTTTCTTTTACTAAACAACACCAATGGTCTTTACCCACAACATATAAATTGTGTTTATTATAGATTATTTGGATACTAAAGAAAATTCCTCCTGATTTATTTTGAGATTAGGGGATTATATGGGTCCGACCGTGTAGTTACTTCTCAATGCGTAAATGGGTTTTCTTTGGTTATGGCTTTCGACTCAAATATTTGGAAGCTATGACGTTATAAAAACACCCATTGGATGAAATTACAGTCTTTTACCACTATTTTTGTTTACATAATAAGTCACTTCAAGTTATGTAAAAAAATATTTTTGAATTTGATTAAACCAAGCACATTTAGTTTTGTGTTTTAAAATGTGTTCGTCAATTCAGCAGGTATATTTCATATCAGTTGAAAGCATTGAAGGGCTTAAAGATTAGGTCTATCTCTGCTATAAGTAGGTAATTTACATTAGAAGATGCAAAGAAGACTGAAATGTGTTTTAGCTTCAGGTATAAGGAATCTCGGAAGCAAGTCCAATTTATGTCAATGTGAGAAGCTCTCTATTCGAAGAGTCGTGTTCGGCGACTAGTGGACGTTAAAGTTGAACGAGTTCAATGTTTGAATGGGATACTCGTAAAATTCCCTCTGTATGACGCAGGAAACGGTTTCTACGCAGAATATATTCCAGCTCGGTGTGTTCTAGGGAGTAAATGAGCAATAAATAATGAGAGAGAAGTCAGCAACGTCGTTACGTTGGATAGGATGGGATATTTGTACAATAAAGTAGTGTGTAAACAACGGTTCTCCTAATGTCATTATAGGGATACGCACGAATAAAATATAGAAAGCTAGTTTTCTAAGGGATTCTATTGTCGTTTGTTGACTTGACTAGCATCGATTTGTAGAAGGTAAATAAATAAATCGTAAATGCAAAGTTATTGCTAATAAATCTGAAGATTTAATCTAATCAGTAGTTGGGTAACTGGCAGTTTCATCTGATTTTAAGAGGAGTGTAATTTTCGCATTTTCGTCAAGTTTTCCTCATTGCCTTCGGGGCAAATTCTTTTGTTCTCCTCTTCTAAAGGGTGAATTTTTGTGTTGCAGAGGCGTGGGGCGCGGCGCGTGGCGGCGGCGCGGGCGCGGGCGGCGCCATGACGCGGCGCCCGCCACCATGACGCTGCCGCCGCCCGCGCGCCCCGCGCACCCCGCCGCGCATCGCGCAATGCGCTATTACCGCATCTGGATCTACGCGTGCAACGGCGCGCTGCTGCTGGGAGCGCTGGCGTTCTGCGCGGCGGCGGGCCGCGCGCTCTCCGACTACCGCCGCGCGCTCGTGCCCGGGCTCGGCGCCGCCCAGCCCGGCTTCCTCTACGGGTACGCCGCACTGCCCGCGCAGGCGGGCCTGCTTCAGCTGCTCGGCTGTCTCGCCGCTCTCCGCCTCTCCGAGCGAATGCTCAACGCCTACTGGCTCGCACTCCTGGCGCTGCTCGTCGGCGACGCCGCCATCGGGGTCTACTGGGCGTTTCGGTTCGAACGCGTCTGCAGGGAACTGCGGCCCCAACTTCGGATACGCCTCGCGAAGGAGTACGACACAGACCTAGACTTCGCCGAAGCCTGGGATAGGCTTCAGAGAGAGCAGCGCTGCTGCGGGGTGACGGGTCCGGCGGATTTCGCCGCGTTTAACCGCACCACGCTTCCGCCGAGTTGTTGCCGAATACCTGCGCACACGCCGGCCGTGACGCCGACGCTGCTCGCCGCGACCTCCGCGTCGTCGCCGGTGCCGTTCACCCCGATCCACTGCGCCCCCCATTCGGCCGCCTGCGCGGAGCGGCTCCTCGTTTGGCTTCGACGGACAGCAGACGCGTTGTTCGTGTTAGGGTATTGTGTTATAGCATTCTTAAAATTGTGCTTCCTCGGAATCCTCCGATACGAAATAAAGGAGATGATTCAGAAAATTAGAATATTACGAAGCGAAATGGGGGCGGGCGAACTTCTCGACGGGAGCCCGATACACGGCGGGCCCCTGTCGCAGACGGTGATAGTGAACGCGGTGAACGCGAACGGCGGCGTGCGAGCGCACGGGGGCAGCCCGGAGCGGGCCGGCGAGCGGGAGGCGCTGCTGGGGCGGGCGTCGGAGCCGCGGCGCAGCACGCACGACGAGCCGCTCGGGCCCAAGACGGTGAACGGCAACAACAACTGCGAGATGCGCGAGCTGGCGCGCGGCGAGTACAGGCCGCTGGCGGCGGACAGTGCGGCGACCCGGATCTGACTAAGATGTTACCTGGAGCGGTTGTTCGGGCGGCGCTGGCGGTCGTTCTCGGCGACCGGCTTCGAGTCGGAGCTGCCGCCGGCGCGCGCGCCGCCCGCCGTGGTGCGCCGCTCGGCCGCGCGCGTGCGCCTCGACCACCGCCGCCACACCCGCTCCGAGTTCGAGCTGTGAGCGCGCCGCACCGGGCCCGGAGCTGAGCGTCGCCTGTCAATTGCGATTACCGAAGCCCTTCGGTGTGACTTTACATGTTTTACTAGTCGTAGTGCAGTTCAGACTGTTCCGCCGACGAATGTCAGTGTTAAAGTGTTATTTACAAATAACGTTTTGAACTTTGAGTATGTGAAAGTGCATCGGACGTGAAGTGTAGTGTGTAATAGACAAAGTGAATCCCACGAGCAAAGCTTGTGTTTAGTTCCTACGCTTGCCAGTTAAAGTTACTTTATGACATAGAGGGAGTAATTAAACATTTGATTTATGCTATACAGGGAAACGGTGAATACGTTGAGTTTCCTAGTGTGCGTATGATGGAGTGCAGACGTGTAAAACTGCGGTGATATACCACCAATGCGAGGTTCCTTAGCGCGGTCGATGCTGTATCGAGCGACTACACCATGCTATGTAGGGGAGACCTAGGAGAGTTGTGACAATTTTTACTTTAGGGGCCATATCTCGCTCAAAAAACATTCCACAGCTATGAATCATACAAATTAATGTAGCGCCGTTCCTTCTGTTTTCAAAACAATCACCAAAGTTAACTAAAGTATTAGGGTTTCTAAGAAAATCACCAAAATCTTAGACCACTCCCTCTGTCACAACTCTCCTAGCACCGAGGTAAGTTGTGACAGGTACCGAGGTGAGTTGTGACAGCATTGTATTTCATCTATTAGATATAAAAAATACCATAATACTCAATCAAAGATGATTTTTAGCAAAAAAGTACTTTAATCGTCCTTTAGTACCTACCAGTTAAAACAAATAGTTATAGGATGTCGTTACACAGATTGAGCCACATTTCTCCAGCTTTCATTTTTCTCCCACGACCCTGGATTTTTTTAATTATATTTTTTAGCTAATATTATAGTCACTTAATACCTATAGTATTTTCTTTCTCTTCTATAAAAATAAAATAGTCGCGGTGGTAGGTATAATCCATAGACGGTGCTTCGCCTTCTGGGTTTACTTGATAAGCCTCTTTCTTCTTTAGGGGAGACCTAGGAGAGTTGTGACAATTTTTACTTTAGGGGCCATATCTCGCTCAAAAAACATTCCACAGCTATGAATCATACAAATTAATGTAGCGCCGTTCCTTCTGTTTTCAAAACAATCACCAAAGTTAACTAAAGTATTAGGGTTTCTAAGAAAATCACCAAAATCTTAGACCACTCCCTCTGTCACAACTCTCCTAGCACCGAGGTAAGTTGTGACAGGTACCGAGGTGAGTTGTGACAGCATTGTATTTCATCTATTAGATATAAAAAATACCATAATACTCAATCAAAGATGATTTTTAGCAAAAAAGTACTTTAATCGTCCTTTAGTACCTACCAGTTAAAACAAATAGTTATAGGATGTCGTTACACAGATTGAGCCACATTTCTCCAGCTTTCATTTTTCTCCCACGACCCTGGATTTTTTTAATTATATTTTTTAGCTAATATTATAGTCACTTAATACCTATAGTATTTTCTTTCTCTTCTATAAAAATAAAATAGTCGCGGTGGTAGGTATAATCCATAGACGGTGCTTCGCCTTCTGGGTTTACTTGATAAGCCTCTTTCTTCTTAATATATCTTGACTAGTTTAGATTGTAAGAGGTCGCAGCATATCTTAAACTTTAACCCTTTAACCTAATCACTTCATAAGCTAGGTCCTAGATTCCGACTTTAGCAAGCAGTTCCTCTATATGGCTTTCATTAGGCGTTCTGAATCAAAAAAGTCATCAAACAGCATGTAATTATACAAATTATGAACCTACTAACACACAAAAAAAATCTAAAAACTCGTGGAAATGGCCCATCAGAAAAATTAAGTAAGATAGGAGAGTTGTGACAGACTGTCACAACTCTCCTAGGTGTTTAAAATGACGACTTGGTTCGAATAATAATTTTTATTTTCTAAACACGATGCGCACACAAAAGATCAGTGCTACATTTTGAGACCTGAATAACCATGCAACTTGAGAAAAAATAACACAATAGTGCACATATACTAAAACATGATATAAATTGAAATAAAGTTTTGAAGAAAAACTTACTTTTCGCATTTTTTTGTACACAGACGTCATATTTACGTAACCGTGTCTCGTGCGCCGCCCGCAGGTACTTAGTCAAGAAGAGCGTCTTAAAAGCGACAAACAAGCGTTTTTACCACCTTCCTATCTATATTAAGTAAGGAGAAATCGCCCTTGTCACAACTCACCTCTGTCACAACTCTCCTAGGTCTCCCCTACCATAATGCACCAAGTTACTGAAATCAACAATTTACTGAACGATTGACTGTATTATGTTTAGCCGTAAGTTTAAAATGCTTTTTACTGTATACCAATAGACTAATGAACATACCAATATACGTAAGGTCGATCATAATAATTGTCTATGTCTACAACGTTTATTTAGGATTCGTAATATTTTAACTAAGGCTTTGAACACAAATATATCTAAGTCTGAAGGATTACTAATGTTTGGCCAAAAAACGTTTCCCAAATTATCACATGGCAAACAACGTTTCGCAAATTTTCATTTGGCAAATTCTCATTTGGCAAAACAACTTATTGCAAACTTTTAATTCGCAAATGTCTTTTTTGGCATATTATTGTTTAGCAAATTATTGTTTGGCAAAGTATGTTTTGCCAAATGTTTCATTTGGCAAAAATATATCACGATAAATTATTTACAAAATAATTTGATTGGTGCATAGAATGGAATACAAATTAGCTTGTGGTTATTATTTTGTTTAGTGGGTAGTTAATATAAAATTTGTTCTAAATTTATTTTCATATTTCATTATTTTTATCGAAACTAAATGATTAATTAACAATAGAGGTGATTCTAGCGCTCGGCGGCCGCTGCCGCGGCACGCTTCGCTCGCCTTCGCGCGTTAAGGGTCACTGTTCTAACCTAACCTAACCTACTATTTTCTGCAAAACCTACTTTCGCATCCATACTATTTTCTGCAATCTCTTTGTTTTACATAAAATTCTTGTGAAAACCATGATCATTTGCCTTGTGCTTTGATTTGTGGGTAACGGTGGGTAAGCATGTGAAGTGTCAATTTGACCAAATAAATTATTTGGGATATAATATTTGGCAAAATAAAACATTTGCTATATAAACATTTGCCAAGTAAAATTTGACCAAATGATAATTTGACCAAATGAAATAGTTGCGAAAAGTACATTTGCTAAAAGTTCATTTGGGAAATGAAACTTTGGCGATAAGTTGTTTGCGAAGTGAAATTTGGCGAAAAGTAATTTGGCCAAACGGAAGGATACCAATTCTGAAACCTAGCCCGTGTACATCCACATGAATTTTGAGAGGTTCCTTTTTCATAGACCAAGTAGGTATTCACTAGGTACCTTTGGTAATTTAGTTGTAGGTATCTGTTTTAATTGTGCACGAGACCCGACCAGTATTCATAGGTGTAGATTAGGAATACTCCATACTTGCCCCCGCTTTCATTAGCTACAGCGCTAACACACTACAGATTAAGTTCCTGAGGTTTCGTATTGTGTAACGCCGACGCGGACTTTCCAAATCAAGAACACCTTTTCGACTGTAAAACCTTTTTGTCGTATCATGTAAATAATAATCATAATTTGTATGTGTAGTATGCGAGTATTTGTGCATGGACAGATCGACAAAAATAGTACTGATATGAGCTTAAACGACGTAGTGCCTACAATTATATGCTTGTAAACAATATAACGCGAACGAATGCATAAAGTTTACGTTTAAAGGCAGGCGAATTAAAGATTTCGTATAACACTTTATCATTGAATATTAGTTTTGAATGAGAGAAACATTGGATGCTGACTAGAGATAGCGCGGTTAGGTAGCGAACCCAGTAACAATAAAGTTATGGAATGTAGGTGAATAAAAGGCTGTGTCGAGTTTAGGTGAAACCTACCAAGAGAGCGCCGCAATCGCACGCGCGGCCCTAGTCTACTAGTCAACTAGTACTCGCTGTATAAACTTACGATTGAATACCTACATACATATTTGTACTTATTACGACGTAAATTTATAGATATATTGTTTGTAATAACGAGTATGAATTATGTTCGCTTAGAGTAGGTATAATATTTTGGGAATTTATGCAGAAAAATAGTTTTTTAATATTGTTGTCACATGAATGTACCAATCTTATTAAAATTTGTACCTATATTCGGAAAGTTGAATAATTTGTAGCTAGGATCCAATCTAAATCCTGCATTTCTTCCAAAAAAACGGTAAAATAACATGTGCCTTGGCTTATAAAATCGTATAACTGATGTTATGTTTATTGTAAACTAATCGATATGAAGTACTAAACTCGTCTCTGATGTGCTGCCTACTCCTTCGACCATCGTATACAACTTGTTTATTATAGGTGACTGCGTTGTTATGGGGACCCTGTAACTGTAGAGATTAATGTTTCTTATCTATAAATTGTATCTTACGAAGAGCACAGTTTTGTATTCGGGATATTCGTATTCTGCAATTACATGATGAACGGTTTCTAATAAAGTTTTGGCACAATTTTAGCTAAACTTCGTCATGAAATGGTGGATACGACGCATTCCAATGTGGAGCTATGAAGCTCCTTTGTTGGATTGTACGAATATTTGAGTTCTCTACCATCAATATTGGTTTATGTGTTCATCATTACGTGTTTTTACTAAGATAAAGTTGTTACAACTTTCCGAAGGTACGCACTAGGCGACTGAGAGCTAATATTATCATAATAAATGCATTAAATAAAGAGTTTGTTAAAATTTAACGATTTTTATTTATTTACATCCGTAGTAGTAGGTAAATTAAAAAAGTGTTAACTACTAAAATAATATGAGTAAGCTAACAAAAGAATAAAGAGGAATCACGAAATAGTCTCGCATGAAAAATATTCAATATTATGCAAAGTTGCAATAACTGTGCTTAATATGGCAACCTGAAAGATTCTTTTTCTGGTACGTAATCGTTCGACCGAGTCAAATTCCAGGTAAGTTTAAAAAAATCTACTACAAAATTTATTCCGACATTTGTTCGTTCATAACAGCGACTATCAAAGTTTTATAACTCGAGTTTACTTATTTTTACTGACCTGAACTTTGTCTTCGGCGACTCTATACGTCCTGTCCACGTTAGCGCCGCCAATCACGAGCACGTCGCCATCCGGATTCGCGATCCGCGGCAAGTCGTAACCGCTATCGATTTTGTTGCTCGTCGCGCACGAGGTATGGAGCCGTCTCGCCGCATTCGGCGAACTCATCCCCGGGAATCCAATATTCGAAGCAGTCAAATTGTCGGCATTCCCCAGCTTTTTAAATTCAACAGCGATGTCGGCGCCGACTTTCGCGTTGTTCTTTACGAGCGCGATGTCTGCGAGTCGTTAAGGAAAGAAATTGTGGCAATTATGTTCACTACCATCATTCTGGGATCGTTGCCGTTTCTGCTCGTTTAATTTACAGTCAAATTACGCAGCTACGAGCAGTCCGGCTTCTAATTAAGCATTTTTATAGAGCCATTAATCGAAGGTGTTAGATAGGGCTGGAACTGCGTAATGGAGTGTTAAGGTTAAGGGAGGTAGGGGAAACGTTTAAGCTGCTGATTTGACATCTGTATTTGAAGTAAATCTACTGTTACTTGCAGGAAGGTTAGTAAATAATTATTGTTATTTTGTTGTACTTAGTTGTGTCACATTTATTATTTAAAAAAGGATACTGGATTTGAGAGAATCACCGCCGGTAGCGTTGGCAACAGCAGAAAGTATGAATGGTGTTACTTCTTTGCCTTGGATACCCTTTTTCTTCGCATCTTCTAGCGCGGTGTTAATTGCCTTATCTATTATTGATTCTAAAAAAAAAAAAAACGAAATACAACAAATTGAAGTCGGTATCACAAAAGCCTTTGTAAAAGACATTACTAATACACAGCATCGTGAAAGTAGAGGTAAGTTGCCATATTCCAACTAAAAATGTATTTTAAGCAGCGGGCATTCGTTATAATGGGCTGAAAACCTTAGTCTAAACATCTCTATGGAGTTTTCAATATAGGCCCCGCCTCCATAACAAGCATTTTTAAGTATCTTAACTTTTTATTTACAACGAGAAAAGCTCTTGGTCTGCATCTCACCAGATGGTAAGCGATGATAAGTACCTACTAGTAAACTCTAAATTTAATTTAAAATGGGTTAAAACTGCTTACCGTCCATGGCATACTCCTCTGGCACTGGCACTGCTATGATGATGCCTGACTGCAATCGCAGCGATTTAGCAGCACCTAGAACTTTTGCCGCTCGCCGCGCGTTCTCCACATTGTATGGGGCGCGGAATCCGGAACGCACCGTGTAGAATGCGGGGAATTCCGTGTTGTTCCCAAAAGTGCATACACACACGCCTTGGGTCTCCTAAAAATGTTTACATATTCAGGAAATTGTAAATATTAGAGTTAGTGTACCCTATGTGTTGTACTTAGAGAGCTATGTGTTGTTTTGCCGTGAAATTTTTATATTTTCTTTTAGTGGAGTTAGAACTAATTTAAGTACACACCCCTGAAGATTACCCGGACAGTTGTGCCGTATTATCATCCTTTATTGAGTTTTTAAAGAAAGAAAGAATTGTATTGTTCAACAGTTCTGGGAATTTTAAAAATGAGGCGACAATAGCATAACAGGACTGCTGATTCGAGATTTAAGCAACACTAGTTCGATTCCCGTCGACCGTTGCACGTTGGACTAGTTAGTAACTGTGGTGCAAAACTAGTTGTAACTTACTTCTAGGATTTAAATAGAGTTAATTACAAATTAGTAAACTTAAGGATAATACTTACCAAATATTCCAAAGTCCTCCCAATGTCAAGGATGGATTTGACGCCGCTACACACCACCAGGGTCTTGCTGCGTCCCAGCTCGTTAAGGTCCGCCGATATGTCCAAACTACTCTCACCTTCACGGTGTACGCCTCCTATTACAGTAATTAATTATATTAAACGACACCCTTTGTGCAAAATGTTATCGTATTTATAATATTTAGGTAAGGGTACGGCACTAAAGCCAAAAATAGCATTTTGTAACTTACACTCGAGGGAATTGGATATTGTGATTGCGTGAGACTTTAGGGCAGGAACAGGTTTTGTTATAATTAATATCTCTATATTTTCAAAGACAATGTCTTGTTTTGTCTTTCACTAGCTTTTGCCCTTGGCTTCGACCGCGTGGATTTCAATTAAGTTATTTTGTAAGAATTTTCAAAATCGATTCAATTATGTATTGAATATCAAACAATAAATAGTTCCTTGCTACAAACAAATCCACAAACGTTTATGCTATACTTCTTTCTAGCCATACGAGCAGATTAATCGTACCTACTTTCCATGTCATTGTCAGTTATTTCCAAAACTTAATTCACTAAACAATCAAGCTAAAACATTTCAAATACTCATTGGATTACTAAAATTAGTTTTAGGAAATGAATCCGCATAAAGTTTCAGTCTCCTAACATGTTTCCTCTCTGCTCTGGTAACTCTGCGGATTGAGTACGAGTGCTACTTATTTGACAAAGACTGCTAAGTACTTATAAAATGTGTTTATAAAAATTAAGACTAGAATATCATATAGGCAATTCGTATGATCAGAAGCGCAGCGTAGGACGTCCACCCACAAGGTGGACCGACAACCTCCGACCAACCGGCCTTTGTGGAAATCATTGGGGGAGGCCTATGTTCAGCAGTGGACGTCCTATGGCTGAGATGACGATGATGATGATGAAGATCAGAATATCTATCATGTAGGCTTGCCTAATTGGTGAAGTTTTTTTTATAGAAATCTATTCCACAAAGTGGCGGGAAATAACTAAAAAATGCGGATATTTTACAAACTAGTTACTACCTACCAAAGAATATTTCTACAATAACTCTCTGCTATCTCATCTCGCCTAACAGCTACTGAAAAATGCAATCACTTTATCGAAAACTTTTCACTATTTATATCGGTTTTTCCCTGCAGGTGGCGTTGATATCGATTGAAACTGCCAGCATTAGGTATGAGATAGTACGCCCACACTTGCTTTATAACTGGAGTAGTAAGATATATGGAGGTAAGAACTTTTAAGAGGTAAGGATTTTTTAATTGAAATTACTTACTAAGAATTTACCTTAACCTTTTGTTAATCAGAAAACCGCTCCAATCACTGAACTACACAAATATATTTGGCTACCAATGTAAGTACCCAGTAATTAATACGGTTCAAATTATCTTGAACTGACCTAACGTTACGTAAATAAGTTTCGTAACATTTTTCTCCAAATAGGTACATCTTTTTATGTATTTCCTTCAAAATAGAACACATATCAGCAGCCTGCCAAAAACACATTTTTTAGCTCATCCATAGAACATGAGGCCACGCGCTTTTCTCATTCGACATTATTTCCACCATTTAGAGGGAAAAGAGTGCGATACTTATACCTTAAACCGAGCTGAATAAGATTTACATTCAATCCGTTTGTACGCTTTCAGTCATGAATATGAAATATCAGGAGCGAGGAGACAGCTGGGTTACCTACGAACGGAATAATATCATCGCCGGTGTTAACTTATGTATGGCTTGATTGACAGTCAAGTAATGGTCGATGAATCACAAACTTCTATATGAAGAAACTTTAGTAAACGTGATCAACAGTCGCTGTAGAAAATGTAAGCAAAAATAGTGGCAAGTTACTATACTCATAAGATGTAATATTCTCATAAGATGTAATATGTCCGAATTTGCTATAGAAATAAATTCTCTTAATAATAGTTCCATGCGTTGTTGAATTACCTACATTACGGCTACATTTGGCAACGGCATTTCCAATTTGATTGACCTAGATTGCTTTATGTAATGAATATCAATGAGTTGATGAATGATTTTATGAATATTTTTGCTGTGAATATCTCACTTTGTGACTGTGAAATATGAACGGTACTTATAATAATACATTTAAATGCTGTTGACTTAACTCGATAAATAAGGTAATTTACCTTTTGACTCAATAAAATATAACATAACAAGGTTTTGTCTATAAAACAAGTAATTAAAAGTGATTAGGTATAATTCTCTTGCAAGAGCGGTTCCTTTATAATTAGTTGTGGTCTCTTTTAATTGACGGAGACCAAATTTCCTTTGTAACAGTGAACAAAGCTTGATCTTACTTAACCATAAGACCCTTTCTAAGTAAACGCAATATGGTTTTGAGAGAATCTACTCAATTACGAGTTGATTAGAAGTCCTCGATTAGTTATTACAAAAAAACGCACTTCGGCAACATTTTTTTCAACCGACTTAAAAAAAGGAGGAGGTTCTCAATTCGACCCGTACGTTTTTTTTTTCTATGTTTGTTACGCGATAACTCCGCCAATTATGAACCGATTTGAACAAATCTTTTTTCGGCGTATAGGTAATACCTCAAGGGTGGTCCCATTTAAATTTAATAATAGAAAAAACAACCACAAGGGTGGAAAATTGGGGATGAACTTTTTTATACGCAATATCTCCGCCGATTATAAATCAATTTGAACGATAATTTTGTTGAATAGGTATTATCAAAAGGGTGGTTTCATGCGAATTGGAAGAAAATATTTCACCCCTAAGGGTGGAAAATTGGGGATGAACTTTTTTATACGCAATATTTTTAATTTTTAGTTTTTTTTGTGNCTTTTTTATACGCAATATCTCCGCCGATTATAAATCAATTTGAACGATAATTTTGTTGAATAGGTATTATCAAAAGGGTGGTTTCATGCGAATTGGAAGAAAATATTTCACCCCTAAGGGTGGAAAATTGGGGATGAACTTTTTTATACGCAATATTTTTAATTTTTAGTTTTTTTTGTGTTCACGCATTTGAAGTCGGTTTTATTTTTTAAAAAAGTTAATTATTCCTCTTTTCTCTTCATTGTTTTTGTACTTTTTTATCTGTCAAATAGATAATTTTTCTTTCTTTCTTTGTATTCAAGCCAATCGGTCTGATTAAGTAAGGTGCTATATTTCAAAGTTTGAAGCCAGAATGGTTACAGATGAATGAAGAAGAATTAACTTCATTTGTACAGTTGACAGCGCATTACTAAACATTTATCATGGATAATAGCTTTTATGACAACTACATAAGAGCTATAGTGAGTACCTATCTTTGTGTACCAGTGGTACCTACTTTTGATGTCTTCGGTACATCAGAGTATATTTCAATTTTAATACCGTCACGTGTATCGAAATGAATATTGTGTGATATCGAGACGCGTGAGCATCGTTGCGAAAAAAACGATCGTTGGAAGAGAGTAAAGCGTAAGCTGCTTCCGTTCGAAATTCAATTTTCCTCAACGCGATTTTGTAGTAACGCCATAGGTAACGTGAGTGTAGAAGTGATGTAGCTCAAATGGTAACTAGAAATCTGCTGTGCGTTTAAATGCAGGTCATTTGAATCGGCTGGAGCATTGCGAGCATACGTAGCACTTTAGTTCAATGCAAATCTCAACCAGCTTACAGTTGTTTAGTTACGGCAGCAAGAGATTTGTTTATTCTGACTCGACATTAATCGATAACCTTAATACTAGAGTATATTTAGATTATAATAGAGTTTTTAATATCTGTGAAGTTAAATATAGCCGAAAGTCCTGAATAAATGAAACTAGTCTGTAATACCGCTTAAAAGTGGCGCCCAACGTGGGGCCGGCGCTATATTGTGTTTCCACAGAAATTGTTAACTTGAGAAAATTAACCTGAATATAAAAAAATACAAATTAATATTAAAAATGTGTTAAGAACCTTTGTTGTCTCAGTTGCCTAAATAGGTATAGGATTTTAATTACACGCATAGCACGCCTAGATACCTACAGTCACGGTAATACTATCTATACAGTATTCCAACTCGGCCTTATTTTTTAAATAAATGTCAACAGCCGCGCGGTACGTCACCGTATGACAACATGCGATAGGGCTGCCCACCTGCAGACCCTATTATCACTGCATCTGCCTACTTAGAATTTCTATCTAGTCTGGTGAATGTACACACACCGGCAGATTTAGAGGAACGGAAAAAAAGCATCAATATCATCATTATTTTAGGAAAAAAATGCCTAATTATGACATTATTTTTTAATTTAATTCTAAATATGAAAAAAATAATTGCCAACATTATATTTTTTTAATTATTTTGTTTAAATTAACCCATCAACAGTTTCGTTGAGTGTTTTGAATTGAATGAAGCTTTTGCTAATTTGGATTTCTTTTACGTGAAAGATGTTTTTTTCTGAGAATTTTGTTGTGTAAGCATTCAGTTACTTATAAGGGTTTATTATGCCCAGCTTAGCACCGTCAGAAATCATTAAGGCAGATGAAATGAGAAGTAACGGCCATGCATACAAATCGGCTGCCGTAAGACGTCGTTGATCAGTATCGACCACCCATGGCAGTAACCAACGGTACAGATTGATCATTTCTGTCGTTAGGAGGAGGGTTCAAGTCAGAAAAAGGCGTACTTCGCGACGGGATGACCGTTTTTTACAACTTCGAGTTTTCAGAAAGTCGCGGTTACCTGCTGTTCAAGCCAGAAATAACCTTAAAGACACTCGAGGAGTAAGAGTGACTGAGCCCACAGTTCACAGGAGATTTACTGAAGTTGGTATAGGGTCGTGCATACCCGAGAAAGCTCCAACTTGTGACACAGCACCGAAAAAACATATTGAACTTTTCACGTGAATATCGTGATTGGGTCTTGAACGACTGGAGGCATGATCTCTTCACTTATGAGTGCAGAGTTCTCTTAAACCAGATCGATGGAAGATAGCGAATATGGAGACACAAAGAGAACGTAACATTTAGTCTTAATTTTGAAAATATCGTGGTTTATGGAGGTAGCTTAATTCTGGTGTGGGGAAGGATTTTTTTGGGAGCTCGCACGGAGTTAGTGGTGGGTGATGGAGGAAATACGA